TAACTAAACATACCTTACTGTAATCATGTCCTTAGGCCTCACCTGTCTTGGGCCTCGTCATGTCCTCTCACTAGTGAGTCATGGAACCCCGTCCAAGCTCCTACGGTAAGTGAGATACGGGCCACGCCCCCACTCACTCCATGTCTATCTCAGGCCTCACTAATGCTCTACTACTAATGAGATATGGAACACCATCCATACTCTGTTATTGGTGAGATACGGACCTCACCCACACCCACCTTCCTACCAGGCACATACATGCATCACACAGACAACAAGTATACTCTAACACGCAAACCATTCCTTGGGTACTCGCCTGACATTGGACCTTGGTCCAGAATATCATACTAGCAAACAGTGCCTAGGGCTAACCCCCGGGTCTTCCTACTCATAACTACATGGGCCGACATTGTGGCCGTAGACCCGTTCACACAAAGGGGAAACTCACCTGCACTGCTGAACTGGCTGATAACCCTCTGGCTGTTGTTCGATAATTCTCTGAACCGCCGCTCCACTATCTCCCCGAGCTATCAATACCAATATCAAATAACACTTAGTCCCAAACTGAACTCTTAGAAGCCGTCTAAGTCCACTTTTGCCAAAGTCAAATTCTTGGTCAAAGTCAACCTTCTTGACTGAATCTACTCGCTGAGTCGCTCCGAGACTCGTCAAGTCCATGCATTCAGAAACTCCCATAAAACGACTCAACTCGCCGAGTCACCCCAAGACTCGTCGAGTTCAACAATCTCTGAGTCCCATCCTGCCCAACTCACCGAGTCTTCACTCAACTCACCAATCTAAGTCTTAACCAGAAGGGGTTAGTGCTTCGCAACCTAACTCGTTGAGTCCAAGAACAGACTCTCCGAGTCCAGGACAATCTTCAATAGACTCGTCGAGTTGTTCTTCCAACTCGTCGAGTCCATGCCCATCTTCATCCAACTCGCCAAGTTCACCCATGTGACTCGCCGAGTCACTTCAGTTCTTAATCCATACAGTGGTTTTTCAAGCCATGCAGAGGCTCCAACTCTATATCCACTCTTCCCAAGTCTATTCCTCACGTAAAGTTGCAAACTTTACGTGAAACCAAAGAGATATGGGCTTAAAACACTCTAGGTCTAGGTTTTGTGACCAAGGGGCTTCACCAACAACTTATTGGCATAAACTTTATGGCTTTCTGGATCCTTAATAGCCTAGATCTGAGGTAGCAACCTCATATCTACTCCAAACTCGGAATAAACCTCCTCCATACTCAAAAATGCCCAAAACTCAACCATAAGATAGATCTAAGTGCAATAGAGTCAACTTATTACCTCAAGGGGTCTAAAAAGTCACACCAACTCTGGATTTAAAGCCAATCCTTGAATCACCAAAGGTTCCCTTCCTCCTTCTTCCTTCAAATCACCTAAAATGGCAAGAAAGCTTGATTGTGCAAAAATAGGGACTTAGGGTTTCTTGTTCTGGATAAGAGAGGCTATAGAGAACCCTAAGGGAGAGAATGAGATGATTATATAGTGCAAAAAGCCCTGGACTTAGGGTTTCCCAATCCAGACCGGACTCGCTGAGTCCACTTTCTGACTCGTCGAGTCAGTCACTTATTCTTCGACCCGGATCTCGCTCGGACTCGTCGAGTTCCACCCTAGACTCGACGAGTTGAACCCTTTGACCTAGGGTTTTCCGTTCTTTTCTTGGTCTTTCTGATTATGGGTGTTACGATTCTCCCCCACTTAAACTAAACTTCATCCTTGAAGTTTCTCTACAACCAATCGTCCTGCAATTTGCTTTCAACACCCTGCTTGGGAAAACCTAATACCTGTTGACTACCTCCGCTGGCCTTCCACCCGGTCATTGTAACTAGCATTAATCCTTGTAAATAATATTCTTGGGTTAACCCTAACCCTGACCATCCTGGGAACACAACTTACTCAACTGACAACCTTCTGGTACTCCCCGAGTACTTATGTTGGACATCCTAGGGGTTCACCCCTTTTCCTTGTGCGTTTTCTGGCCTCCCCAAGGTAGCGTTCCATAACCAACTACTTCCTCTGTCATTGTGAAGGTCCTATCCTTCACCAACTCCATTACCCCACGCTACTTCCAATACGGGTCATTACCGCCAGTATCCACTAGACACTTCTCACTACTATAACTTGGGGCTGAGCACCCCTCGATCAACTAACTGAATTCCACCATAGTCTACTTACCATCACTGTCACTGACTAAAAATTTCTGTTGTCCCTTATCTGCCTTCCGGATGAACCAAGACCACCCTGGTCCATACTGATCTATCAATATCTAAATTATCAGCTCCCACCGGTCGCTAGCTCCAACATGAACTTCTAGTCGCTCCCAGCGACTTTCGAGGAAACTTAGGCTACCTAATCCTGCCCCCCTATACTCTGCCACTCTAGCGCTACAAGTCCTGGGATCCTCGATCCTCCTATCTCGACCTTAAGGTCCTTACCAGGTCCCACCTGTGCTACTAAAACTCACGGGCCTCTCCCACGGGTCCCACCCGACTACACCACTGAGCAACCCTGCTCTCAGGTCTCACCTATACTGCTACTCTCATACGGGCCTCGCCCATGGGTCTCACCCAACTACATCCTGGAGCGGCCTCTCCCAAGGTCTCACCTCTCTACGGCTATGCAGGCAAGCTCCATACTATTCTCATCTACTACCCATTCCTGATTCCTACCTAGATCACTAGGAGGTAAGGGCCTCACCCCAACTTCGCTAACTAAGCTGTTAGGGGATGCTACGGTTTACCCGTAGTCTTACAACACCTTCCATACTCACTGACTGTTAGTGAATGCTATGACTACCCCATAGTCTTACAACACTTTCCACCTTTGGCTCGCTGACGAAAAATGTTGAGGCCCTCCCGCCGCCCTAACATGCTCTATATGTTGTCTCTACCACTGACTACTAACACGAAAGCATCCCATGCTAACCGTCACTACTAGAAAAACAGCCTTTTACGAAACTCATTGCGCATCGTAAAACGCTCAGACGATGCGTAAATGTGCGTCAAGGAAGGCCCTGTCATAAAGAGAGACGACGCGCTTTTGCGCGTCGTCTATACACGACGCGCATTTACGACGCACAATTATGGCATGCAATGCGTATTAAGGAAGGCCATGTCATAAAGGAAGACGACACGCATTTGCATGTCGTAACCTTACAACGTGCGTGTTTATGACACACAACGCGTATCAGGGAATCCCCTGTCATAAATGAAGATGACACACATTTGCGTGTCATAAACTTCTTTAACCATTTACGATATGCATTTACGATGCGTCTTTACGATACTCATTTACGCATAATACAAAATTTTGTAAACAAATACATACTAAAACAATCAATTTCATCCAATATCATGTCAAAAAATTGTAATACATTGATATTAGTGGGATCTAATTGTACATTGTTACTAAGAGGTTTTCCCTAACTATATAACCTAATACTATATTGCTGCAAAGTAATGCTACACAAAGATGATAAACATCAAATTCCAACTAAGTAGAGTTGCATCTTTCCTTTCATAATTCTTTAAGACTAATGAACCCCTGCTTCGATAATTCTTGTGACCTGATTAAATAAAAGTCTAAAAATTAATATGCTAATATAATAAATAGAATAATCAACTAAAATTGGAAATGTACACGAGGCTGCAACTTTCAACTAAATCGGTTCAAATCCCAATTCAACTAAAAGCAACTTTCTTTCTGGAGTGTCCCTGTTACACTTTTAAGTAGTCTAGTCCTTTCATGCATGACTTAAGTAGAGCTAGCTAGTGAGGGCGATGGTGTCTTTTTACAATTAGATCAGTCAGGTCAATATTTTTTTAGTATAAGTAGGTTTGTTGACTTATGGAGCCTCCAAGACCAACTGTATTTAATGTTTTTAATCACAGAACTTACCTCTAGTTGTACCTTTCCACCACCTACCATTCCCTCCAATTCAACTAGCACCTCATGTGAATTTCCTTGTAAACATGGTTCTATGCTTTAGAGACATTATGGTGGAGATTGTTTTCTATAGTTTATAAGATAGCATCTGGACTTTAATACATTTATAAACTGCAACTATCCTTCAAACGTTACAGTATAACATCAAGGGTATTGGAACAATATCTTGTGCTAACTTCATAATGCTGAGTTTTTGTTTTAAATTTGATTGAGGTGCAAAGAAGCTAAAGACTTAAAGCAACCAAAAGAAAAAGAAGAAAGCTCACCATCACACATGGACTCCAAGCTGACAATTCCATTGCCCATAAGTTTATGGGGAGTAACAAGATTAGCATCCCAAGCTGCAACCTGAAGTAAATTGGTACATAACATAAGTTTTGAGGATCCAAAATGAGTTATGTATGGTTTCATGACACAACAAAATCTCTAATGCAAGTATTAGCAAAACTAACAAAGATGATACCGTCTTAAACTTGAAATACCAAAATGCCTACTCAATCTGATGTTTAGTGCCGTAATAAGAAAGAAGATTAAAGGTTGTTTAGTGGTAACTAGGAATAAGACATAAAGTGGATACTAAAATAATCCACTTAAAATGCATTTTGAACAACTCATATCGATATGGATAAGCCATCCTGCAATTTTTTTATCCATATCACTACACATCTCTATTTAAAATTATATATTATAAAAGTTATGCATATCTTATACAAAATATAATAACAGGTTTAATGTTTAAGTTACCTTAAAGCATTCATAATTCGCTATTGTGTTCCTGAATAATAGAGAAGCCGAAACTAGCATATTTCAAAAGATGCAGCATACTGCAGTCTTTTTTCTCTACCCATCGTCTAATTAATTAATTAAAGAAAATTAGAAATTGCCATAATTATTGGATTAATGTTCCATGAAAAGCTCATAAGCTTTAAGAACTTACTTGCATTATACCACTTTGGTAAATCCTACACATAAAAAGTTTTAATGATGTATTAGTAACATTTTAAAATTAATAAGATAATAAATAGCAAGTTAGTTGTAATCAGTATCATCTGAGGCTTCACTTTCCGGCATGTTTGTCACCGGAGGCGGTGGTTGTGGCGGCTCAGATGTTTTAATTGTCTGTGGGTGGGCAATCACAGGTGGAAGTGAGGTTGAATTCTCTGAAGTTTCAGTTGTTTGTATCTCCATTATTGCATACACCAAGAAAAAATGGTCACAATCATCATTGGGGAACATCTTAACAACAGATATAGAACATTCTTGTACAAAAGAGTCAAAATGGAGAGGAGAGGAAATAAGAACAAAAAAGTATTGCAAGTCAACCCAACCGAATCAGTTGATATAAATGTATAATGACCTACCTTTCCCTAAAACTCAAATAAAAAAAGGAACTAATTGGCTTACAAAGTTCCTTATGGCTTCGATTTCAATGTATCAACCTTCTCTTCAAGCTCACCTAACCTTTTCAACATGGAATTGAAAACCTCTGCTTCTTTAAAAGATGGAATCGGTGATGGTGGTCGGAATTCCTCATTCCTAGGCCCATCAAACGAGAATTCCTCGGTCCTTTTGGCATCCTCAGATCACGTTTCTGGAAGCTTCTTAGTCACACGCTTCAACACCGAATTCAAAACAGAAAAAACAGTCATCAAGACTGCCACAAGCATCACCCACATTCCGTTAGCTTTTTCCACTCCCTTTTGACCTTCAATAAATGTCAATGTCCATGTTTGACTTTGACCTCTGGGATCATAAGGCTTTGGAGATGAAGGTTGTTTTTTCCATCCATAATCAACAGCTTTATCCACCATGGGAACATACTCATCATATCCAGAAAATGGACCCGCATAGCTTGTACCCCCAATTGTCTTCGCCTATACACAACACAAAATATAACTTTTAAATAATATTAAAAAAAACTATACTTAAAAAAACAGTAAATACTTACTTCTTCACGAACAGGAGTCAACCTAAGATGTGAATAACTCCTCATTGCTTTCGGAGATGCAATATCTTCAGCTTCTGACCCTGACTCAGCAGTCGATGTATCACTGCTTCTTAGTTGCAGCTCAATAAATAAATAAATAATGAGGAAAATATATATTTAAAAAAATTGTTATTTAGTTGTTCCTACGGCATGAAGCTGAGGCTTAGTATATGCAACAATCTTTCCTTCACTATTTAAAACTTTAACCACCTATCATGCACGCCTTGCTTCACTATTAAGAGCCAACTGTCGGAAAAAAAAGTCCACAACAACTGATTTAGTTTAAATAAAAATATATAAAAAATATTACAAGTGCTTTTGAGCTTAACCTTCAATATTTCAGGATTATTCCATGGTCCTTTATCAGATAAAAGACAACCCCCTTTATCTAAACATTGTGTACACATGCCACCTAAGAAGTCTGGCAATTCACTGCAAATTATTGTTTCAAGTATTATAAAATATTAAGCTTATAAATAAAAGACAAATGTATATAATTAGTAAATGACATTGATAAGAACATTACCTGAAATCTATTATCTCAAGCAATTTATTCTAGTACTTGCATCCCAGAACCTAAACAAAAGAAAATTTATATTGTATAGTGAACTTGTGATTTTTATAAAAAAAGATATATGAAAAGATTGAAGCGTACGTGAATCTTCGAAGTTGTTTTGGGATCTAGAAATGACTTTACAGTACTCCAAAGCAGTCTAAAACCAGGGCCAACATTGATTATATACATTTGATGAAGTGTATGTTAACAAATATATAGTGCCAAAAAAGTTAATTAAAGATTATTGCTAAAATAAACTTCATTAATGAAGCAAACTAATCTTACTTACTTCAGGATAATTGTCGCCATCAATTTTTTGTAGACACGAAATGATTTCACGGGCACCTTTAGTTAAGTTCTTGAGCCCCTGAAAATATTCAAAAATGAAAATAATATTATTGAAGGTGATTATGTAAAGTGTGAACAAAGGGGAAGAAGATTCTCTTTTGCTAACTTGTTTCTTGGAGGAGATTCTCTGTTGCTAACTTGTCTCTTTTTAGAATCTCCACCTTGTTCTCTTAAACCAAAATGAAGACTTCAATGAGGATTCACACAACAGCCATTCAAAGCAGCAAATCAGGAAGCACAATAGTCCAATCCCATTCAAGTTTCTTTGGACCTATCAGCAAGATAAGAATACAAAATTCTTGTCATGATGGAAAGATTAAAAGCTAGTAAGATTTTAAATGAAAATGATTATAAAAATCAAAGAAAAATTAAACCAACAGCTAATTAAAAGATGCATGGACCATTATATTTGGTAGTAAGTAAGCAGCAACTGATAACCACAACATCAAACTTTTCAAAGAATTCAAACAGATATGAAACCCCCTGATTGTATACCATAACTCAGTCGCTATGCAATGTTGTGCAATTAAGAGAATAGAAACACAGTACCAATCTTTAGATCTAGACAACTCTTAGAGGCAGAGTAGCTCCGCCTCAGTGGCTGCCACTTGCAAGAAGGGGCGAGATGGAGCTGTTGCTGTAAACAATTACAACGAAGGTTCACATAAATTCCAAAATACAACAAATCAAGATCACCATGTTGTCTTCCGCAAGTTAATAATTAGGATTGAATGGAATTAACATATTTTCCATTAGTTTCAATACTTTCTCTAGAGGTTAAAACCTTAATCAAATTATATAGACAAAAAACGACATTAAATTAGTTTATGAGGATACCTAAATCATGGATAACTATTAGTTATTAAATTAGAAAATCATAACAATCTCAAAACAAAACCAATTAACCTTTAAGAATGTCTATCCAAGCCAGAAGCTAAAATTGGAACTTAAATCAAGATAGGGGAAATGTTGATATTTGAATGATGTGAAGAGATAAATCCATGGGAAGTATATGAACTATAGAAGAAACTTCAGACCAAAAAGAGGCATTAGTTGATAGAATTAGGGAATACCTGAAGCAAATCAACCATTGATGATGACCATGGAGATATAGGTGGCACAACAGGAAACTCTTACAATGAAATTGTAGAAATGGGAGAGAAGAGATGAACTATATGTCAGATTAAAAACATTTTCGAAAGACAGAGTTCGTGATATGAAGAAATGAAATTAGGGTTCAAGCCCTTACCTGCAATCAATCTTCAATTTTTAGTAAGCAAGATCGGTTGTCTACATGAGCTTATATAGTCTCCTATGGTAACCGCTTAGACGGTTTAGAAGAATGAAGAATTGCGAATGTGGAGAAGAAAGGTGTCTTCTAAGGAGCTAGGAATCCGATACAGTTAACGGAAATTTGTTGTGCTTTCAGCAAATCTCAAGCATCAGTTGTGCTTTCAGCAAATCTCAAGCACCGATCCATTCTGCTGAAGGTTCCCAATTGATGACTTTAGCATGAATGATTCTGAAGGTGATCGGTACCCAGGGCTCCCACTTAGATGAAATTGCAGAGAGAGAGAGAGAGAGAGAGAGATGGGCTGATTCTCAGCCTTACAAAGGTTTCGTGCTCTGGTTCTTTTCTAAGAATATCAGCAGAATGAAAGAAGACCAACTTCAGTAGATAGCAAAATGAGTGTGGACGGGTCCGATTTATCATCATCAAAAAGCTCCGATCTTTCTAATAGATAGAATCTCCAGTCTCTTTTGAAAGAAAAAAAAACCCTAAAAAGAGAAATCACAATTGATCCAATAATCAGTGATTTTGACCCAGGAGGGTTGTAATATTGATGATACAAGGTGCAGAAAACAGATTCAAAGGTGTCATCATCTTTAGGGTGCAAAGAGAATTTGGACTCGATTTAACTAGGATTCGAGTTGCATAAATTAACAGGAGAAGAAAAGTAGATAGACACCGCCGATTATGCTTGGACAGATGATCATTCGGTAAGAGCATGGCCGATGGGGAAGGACCAGTGGCCAATGGCAAAGATGAGGAACAAGATGTTGAAGAGAACGATAAGAAGGAGGTCAAGAGTAGCACAAAAGCGGATCGGATAGGAGATTAAGAAGGTGAAAGATAGAAAAAAGGTAGAAGGCGGGTTTTCAAAATTTTGGGGATTTCGTCTCCCTTATCTAAATGCGGGTTTCATTAAAATTATAAAGCGACATGCATAGAGGACGCGCGTTTAAGATAAAGCGCCCTCCGTGTTTTTAATTTTTTTCTTTAGACACTAATTTAAGGGCACGCAAAAATGTGTGACGTAAATCCTTAAATTTTTTGAAGAGATGACACTATTTTAAGGTCACTCTCTTTTGCGTAACATAAATCAGTGAGTGTCGTGGTTTGCGCGTCATTAAAGGCATATATTCTAGTAGTGTGTTCTTAAGATCCTTATTCCAACTCTTTCGAGTTCTGCAGACGATCCTCCATCCTGAAATTCCAACCAGATACTAACCATCTCAAATACATGAACTAAGTGTTGGAAAGTCTCCCAAACTCCCAACGCTGAACTCCTCAACCCATCAATCGTTGTGCTACTTCTTTTCCTTCTCAAAGGTCATGAACTCATTCTGGATCTGCATGCTCTTACCCCTGAACACTCGGAGGGTTCTCCCCCACTTTGATCCTGCTTATACCTCACTGCTCGATGCTTGAGAAGAATTCTCAATCTTCTCTGCTATACTGCAATCAATCTACTGAAGAACCAAGCTTACCATAGCTAGGGATTTACCCGATCCATTACTTGATGACACCTTCCTGAATCTAGCATAACACTACTGAGTCCCACATAAGCATGTTATAGTTATTGCATCCTAAGTAACCTGCTTCAATAAGGCACCACCCCTAACTACCACTTTATTATCCAAGGTATGCAGATGGCATATAACAAGCACGCAACACAATTCTAAAATACTTATACCAATAATGATGTAGAATCATAACAATATAATCATGAACAAATTTAATAAATAAACGAAAGACATGCACCTGCTACGCCCGGCGTTGCTCGCATCTCCTTGGTAGTCATCTAAAAAGCCCTGCCTCCTACCGCAGGCGCCTCTGCTCGGCCCTGACGACCGTCTGTGATCCTCAGAGTTGCAGGGTCAGGTCCTATCACCCATCCTACCGAAAACAAACCGGGGCACTAGGCCTTATTGTGGCCCCGCTGACTGCAGTGGAAACATATCAAGTCTGATCCCTGTGTGGTGGTAGCAGTACAATCCCTGCTAAGATGACCAGTCCGGCCGCACTTGAAGCAACCCGAATCTCCACCACTACGACTCCTACACGCGCCCTCATGCATCCTTCCGCACCTCCTGCATCGATCGCGGCTCTGGTAATCCCTCGATCTCGAATCTAACCCGTTGGGCCTTTTGCCCGAACCTGTGGCTACCTAAACCTCATCCAACTTCCTCTTCTGGATCTGCTCCAAATCAATCTCTCTCTCTCTCTTTCTCTCTCTCTAGCTCGTGCGATCATATCCTCCAACGTTTGGCAGCTGGACCTGCTTATACACTGCTTGATGTCATCCCTCAACATCTTGTGATATCGGGCCTTCTTCATCTCCTCTTCCGCGACATACTGCGGAACAAGGAGGGCCTTCTCCTTGGACTTGGTGGTTATCTCCACCACAGTCTCAGTAGTCTGCATCAAATCCTGAAACTCCCGTGCCAACTGTTGCACCTCAATAATCGGTGAAAACTCATCCCTGAACCTGGCCGAGAAATCACTCAATGTCATCGCGTCCAACGCGACATCATCATCAATAGCATGACCAACCTCCTCCCACCAATTCCTTGCTCTGTCCTTCAGAAGACAGGAGGCGAGTTTGACCTTGTCCCCCTCGGGACACCGACTCGTACGGAATGCGTTGGCAATATCAACCAACCACCTGCTGCTAGCGATGGGATCCCTAGCCCCATGATAATCTGGCACTCCACAAGCTCTAAACTCTAGGAATGTCAAGCACGCGCTCACATCAAAGCCATTATATTGGTACGAAAGGCTCCCAACCTCTCATCCAAGATCTCCAGTATACCCTCATTGACCATACCAAAGATCACAGGAGTCTGATCTAGGATACTGCGCGTAACCTCTGTTAATATCAAATCCCTCATACGCTCCTCGAGTTGCTTGGCCCCTGAACCCGAGCCTGATCCCTCTCTGGCGCCTGATCCGCCCACTGGTCTCTCTCGCAATGTCACCATGCTGAAAACATAATGCAATACTATCAAAATACTCATCACTGCTGAGGGATCATACGCACACGCTACAAGTTTCCCAGTCTCGTCTCATCTTTTCTTGAATCGAGTACGGATCCTCTGCTTCTAGCAGTACAGGCCCATACTACCTTCCTTATCTATCCGTACTTTCCTCGAGAACTGCTTTAACTCCACCAGGTCCCTTTTTCTACTACTACTGTTCCCAACACTATCTCATCCTAGGCTTACCCTAGGGAAACCTATGACTCAACTCGAACTAATCCTCAGTTGCTGAAGGCCTCTTTGTGATGCCAATTATCCATCACCTGAATACCATCACATGTGACGAGGCTCAAATAATTCTTCGAGTAAAAGACTCGTCCCTACAATCGTTAGACTCATACGAGAGCTGTGCAATAGGGCCAAATCCAGCACTCTGAGATTATTCAACCCTGATCATATGTGACGTGACGTATTCACCTAATGGCTAACTCCCATCACTCAGAATCCCACAATGCACAAAGCAAGCAACATTCAGACAATGGAAAATTTAACCATAACATACTCAAGCAATCATAATCTCATATCAAGAATCTGCACTAGCATGCAACATAATCTCATATACTCAGGCATAACCTAAACAGGCTACCCTACTACTGTCTAACCAATATCATCATGCAGCTCAAAAGCACATATAACAG